TTTATTACTACTACTATTATAATTTCTATTATTATTATTACTGTTATCATTCCCTCTCTCACGGCATCGCCTTCTTGTTTCAGATCGACAAACCAGTCACTTTCACAGTGGCTTTCAATGGAGCCACAGGAAACCTGCATGCCACGATGCGCACTCCCTCTGGTGCTCACACTGACTGCTTCACTCAGGTAGGGTGGACGACTCTCTGACGATGGACTTACTTGTGTGGGGTGTATAAACCAAAATGTATCACGTTATGGCGAGCTAAATGGATTTTATTTGGCAACTTTTCTGGAAAATGCGTTTTTAGAAAGGTACGGTAGCAGAAACATTGTGCTTTGATGGGAGGCGTTCCTTCATGCGCTGCGTACACTTATAAATTATTTGTTTTTTTCACCTATTGATTGGTGCCAATTATTTGTTTGATATATGAAAATAGTAATTTTTTAAAAATCGCACCACCCCTTCTCCTCCCAACGAGTACGAGATTTTAATGCTTAACTTGAGACCAACAATCGGTTTCAGCTATGGTAAAAATGAATCCAACACAGTAACAACATTTATTTGTGCATAGCTTGTGAAACTTCTGTACTAATCAGATATGGTGTTGTCCATTAAAAATTGATAACTAATTCATTCATTATACACTGATGTTGCAAAAAATACTTACTTGGTTGGGTTCCTTGCAGAGATTAATATGATTTTTTAAATCCTTTCTCTTCGCTTTTGTCTTGGCATCGTTTGATGTTTGGTTTTTTTCTGTTCTGAAAGGCTGAAGCAGTTTTTACCAAGAGTTCTTTTTAATCTGGGTACAAGAAGAGCATAATTTTATACGGGATATCCCATGACAAACCCAAAGGCCCACTGTCAAGGCTAGGTTTTGTTTCGGCATTCTTATGATAAAAAGATAGTTATTTCCAGGACTGTGAACGGAGCCCACGAGTACCAAAGTTGGCATCTTGCTGAATTTTGATGAGGATGATCCTCCTCCGAATACTTCGCTGTTGCACGTAGAAGATCTGGGTTCGATTTCAGGGTTAGGACTTCTGCTGAGACGTATCCCTCTCCAATGAAGTTTATAAGGCTTAGTTCCGCTACCTTGGGCGTTCTGATGTTTGGATTGTTTTAAGTGTTCAGACTACTTGACTTAGTATTATCAGAGTTGGGATGCTAAGGTCAGTCTCAAAATTTCTTTCACAGTTCAGTTCGAAAATTCTTGCCTCTCAAATGACCCTTCACTGTTATCGTTAGTGTCGGAGGTATTGCCCCTTAGATGATCCTTCACCACTATTTATAAGGAAGTTCAGCTCATCCAAAGCGTCGAGTATGCATGTAATGTGTTTCTGACGGCTAAAATCGTTTTATCCAAGGAAATGGACAAGGGCGTGTACGCCGTCAGGTTCATCCCCAAAGAGAACGGCGTGCACTACGTTGACGTGAAGCTCAATGACGCACATATTCCTGACTCCCCCTTCGCTATAATGGTTGGGTCCACCGCCTCCGACCCCGCAATGGTTACTGCTTCAGGGGATGGACTAGAGCACGGAAAGTGTGGTGAGTACCAACTTTTATGCTAGCTCTCTTTTTTTTGGTCAGTTGTATCAGAAGTTCATTCATTCATGATTTCATTCATCCATCGATTGATTGATTTCAATCAGTTTGTTATATCTTTCTCTACAGAGGCATTGGTTATTGTTAGACATTGATGGAAGAACTGTTATGTGTTTTATTCGTTCTTTCCTTGATTTATTGATGCATTGATGCTTTTATTTGACCTTTCCTTCCTCAGGCGTCAAGAACAAGTTCGTGGTGAAGACGGCGGGCGCAGGTTCCGGTCTCCTGGCTGTGTTCATCGACGGTCCGTCCAAGTCCGCGCTCAGCTGTAAAGAAGTGGACGAGGGATACGAGTTCAGCTTCACGCCTTTCTGCCCTGGGAACTATCTCATCACCATCAAATATGGCAACATCCCCATCGCTGGATCGCCCTACCAGACCAATGTCACAGGTATGCTAAAGCGTTGCGTCATGGTGTCCGTCCAGATACGTTAGGTCCGTGATACTTTGGTTGTAGAAGCATTTTTCTTTTAGGGTCGATCTTTGGGAAAGTTAAAAGTGATTCTTACAATATTTACCAGCGCAGCGCTCTAATCAAATGGTCGGAATTGTTTTCTCATTGCCCACTTTTTCATGACTATATTTTATAGACCCCCCCCCCCCCCGCCTACTTTAAAAAAGAGGCCTGGAACGAATACGTATCTATGCCCATAAATGCAGTGATTCACTATTTCCCTTTAAAGATTTTTAAGACTAATGACCCTATATAATCCCTAGACATTCTGTGTAAACATACTTCTAGGTGGCAATAATTTCGCCTTAAATGTTAAAGAAACGATGCTATTGCCAAGAACCTCTTTATTATAATTGAATCTGAAGTCAGTGTTCGCTTAGAAAATTGACTTCGTTAAATCGTTAACAAGAGGCTCTCTGTTGTACAGGAAATATTTAGGTTCCTACACTAAAGGTAAAGTGGCGGGTGGTGGTCATTTTTAAACTAATGACCCGATACTATTTACAAATATGGCTTTATTACCATGAACTTGTAGTTATCATTAGAGGACACATGGTCTGTTATCTAACATTGGAAACCTCAGCATCAAAGATGAGACATCTCTCTGAGGTCTTGGGGGTCTGTGCTTCAATTATTGGTTCATCTTTGACGGCAAAGACGAGGTTACAGCTTGCGTCTTTGTTCTCTTCTATAAAACGCTCCTGATGCAGTAGAAGGTAATTTATCGAGGTATATTTACATTTAATAAACCTTGACCTGGTATAGAAGACTCGGACTTCACCCTGAACAAGACTCATGTGGCAAAATAGTCTGACCTTGTTAACCGTGACAGAAGGTGTCACTGGGCTTCATATTGGTGCTTTAGCAATTTTGGAAAAGTTTCTTGTTCAACAAGTTGGACAAATATGCATAGTCTATATTGACGAAAAAAATTTTACGCTGTTCAAACACATGGACTATCTCAACCATTTCCTTAAGTGCATATGATGTTTCTGTTCACTTCCTGTATTCCTAGCAGTGTTCTCTCAGTACATGTTGAAACAGAAGAGCTCGCTCTTTTTGTACCTAACTCCAGAGATAACTGCTACAGTTCCTTAAAAGCACATGTTGAATTCTGGCTCCGAGGGGACCAAAACCTGCTGTAACACTCGAGGGAATTACTACTAAGGAATATACTTTTTGTCTTTTGAGTTACGAAAACAAACCGAGAGAAATTTCCAAAGATTCAGCTCCATTCTGTATCTTGTTCCTTTGTGTTTGAGTAAAACTGGCATCTCTAAGCAAACATAGACGAGCTCTGCCTCAATCCCTTCTTAATTAATTTTAAATTTTTTTTTTTGGGGGGGGGGGGGGTTAACTTTTAAAAAAGTTATACCGGCCTCCGGTTGACAGGTGAGCACAAAAAAGAACAAAACGGAGGACATAGTAAGTACGGTAAAAAGATTTACTCTCGAAATCCCAGACAAGTTGTGGCACTTGGATGGCACTCCTACTGATGGGAGAGATGTACCCCGTTGTGGCTGGAGAGGGTCTTACTTGTACACCCCTGGCTCACTCGGGGTAGGTGTGTAACTCTGGGGCCACGTAGATTATAATGAGAGCGTTGGACTTACAATTTACGTAAACTGAAATGAGAGAGGAATGAAAAAAGAGTCTCGTGAAACCATTGTATGCTAACTATAAGACTATAAGTGCAGCTCTCTCATTATAGTTTGATAATGGCAGGCCCCTTGTCTACAAGGTACAGAGATGATCTCATGCTTCAATGATCTTTGCTTTGCAGGAGGTGGTCCCGACGGTGAACTCTCCTTCTCTTTCCCTTTTCATAACACCAATATCATCATGCTCATGTGGACTCCGTTGTTTCGTTTGTCTGCGTTATGTTCATGAATTTCAGGCCTGGCTTTATGTGATGATTTCCGTCTCGCTCTTTGTTTATTTTTTTATTTCCAAAGCGTGGCGAGACAAAGGAATCGAAACCACTCACCAAACCACTCACTTGAAAGAATACTAAGTGGAATAAACGGCCAAAATATTATTTTGCGTATTTCAAGCACCCTTCTTTATCCAATGCTTGAATGGGTTTTGAGAAAATTGTTCTCACCCAACGTCTTTGTTCTCACCTCATCGCCTAAAACGACAAGCAGAATTTACAAGCTGTGTTATGACGCCTTTTTGAAATTAAATTTCTGTGAGAAATTATATTACTACAACTCAAAAATTCAAAGGGAATCGTATGAAAAAACTTTCGTATTCAGTAGGGTCTGCAGGTGAATCACCGGCATAAGCTATACTTAAAATTAAAACAATTATTTTCTAAAGATTCCTGAGTCCTCGCACTGATTGGTGTGTCTATCGCTTCTCTCTTGCCCGTTCTCCGCACATTTTTGTTACGCTTATTTTTCTTTTCGTCACTGTCTCGCTGTTCTCTCCTTGCTGTTTGCATCGTGGGTGCTCCTGAAGTGTTTGACTCGTATTGATGTTTGCTTTCTTGCGTTGGTAAATCTTTGATATCTCTATTTTTTGGTGTTTTTTTTTCCTTTTGACAAAATGGTTAGCTATGATGATTTTTTTTTTCGTTTCGTTTAAAGCAAAATGCAAAATGCCTACGTCTGTTCTTCTGTTTCGTATGCTGCTCTCGTTTGTATCTGTTACGTCCGTATATTTGTTCTTTGTGTTTCGATGTATTTGAATATCTGATCTTTAGTGCACATTTTTTAAAACTGGCAAATAACATTATGAGCCAAAGTTTGGCTCTCGACATCGGTCTAAGCTTTCCAATGGCACTTCATGTCTTCAGAGAATGGTGTGCGATATGAGCCTACCACAAGCGTGCACGCTATTGGGCAGAATAATACCCCATGAGCCAGACAGCAGACAAGATTTGAACTGTACAACTTTGTACGCTTTGAGTTTTTCTCCTGAATCTAAACTCTAAATGTGTTTTAAGACATGATGAGAGACATCATTGTCAAGAGCCATGAGCAATAATATACTATTTTCATTTAGCTCAAGGTGGGTCGCAAGTGCAACCAGACGGAGAGGGTAAGAAACATACTCGTCACCTGAGATATCGTCCACCACATGGCATAGTAGTTCCCTGCCAGTGTCCCTCGAACAAACGAGTCTCTCTGCTGCTAAATAAGTATGTGCAGATCTTCAGATAAAGCGATGGAAGTAGGGCTTTGTCAACGGTCACGATGTTTTGGACTTTATTTAGTTCGTACATCAAACAATCGCCTTATAGACATGGTTAGACCAGCGTGTGAATTTGGTGTACGCACAAAATAAATTCCCGTTGATAGAATCAGTGTTTTTATCGCAAGGGACACTGGTATGTATATTTAGCCCCTTCACTTACGTACAAACAGAACGCTTTGCCCACATTGTGGCTCACCAGTCCCTGAGCAGTTGGCGTTTCACTCACTGTGGTAGTCCCCGCACACCCCACATACACTTCACGAATCCACGAACCCCAAAAGCTTGTGTTCCCTTCCTGCCAGCCTGCCAGGACGTGAATTGTGCTCAGACTGTCAAATAAACTATTATTAAACGATACGAATGCTCCCCATTGTATTTTCGCCCACACCACACGTCCAGCGTAGTATGTATTGACTCCACAAAGTCTTTGGTGTCGTAAGCACGATGCCCGTCCTTTTTTTCGCACCGATCCCCCCCCCCCTTTTTCCCTCGCTACCAGATTCTTCGTATAATCATATTCGTATGTGTTTGCCTACTGCTGTCACTTGAATGGCAGAGACATGATTAAGAGGTGGAGGTTTAAGTAAGAAGATGGAAAGAAGGACATTGCACCAAATAAACCATCTCGCGAAGGCCAAATGCATCTCAGTATAGATATTCATGTCCGCCATTTTTCTATTAGATATGCTACACCTCCTGTCGGTGTTTTAGAAATCTATTGGCTATCTCTCAACCCACAGAGGCGTAGGAAACAAATACAAACAATGACTACTTATGGAAGTTCGTAACCCTTCTTTGCTTATCCTCTCAGAAATCAGCTTCTATTCATAGAAATGGAGAACGCAATAGGTTTATTTCTCTTACTCACAAAGTGAAACGAGATTAAATAGTCATTGGAAAGCGGAGGCATTTGAACTATGTTGGTCACTAATAAGTATTTTAAGTTTATTCTTCCATCTATGACAAGTCCACCACATTAGGAACATGTGTGGTGGTGTAATATAATGTTTTTTTAATTTATTATTTTACCCAAGATTTGAAACAGTTGTGGTCTATGTTTATTATGTCCTGAAATGTTATAATATCGTATCAGTTCATTAGAGCATGACTCAGTGTCTCTCAGAAATGTTCATGTCGTTCGTCCGTTCAGTCAGTGATAATCGTTAAGCGGTAACCTCCAAGAGTACTTGTATTTGATGTACCCCTGTCTCGTGAAAATAACCTATAGCCTTTAGTAAATTATTTTGCTGTACCTTAGTTTAGAATACCAATGTTAGTGTTCCTTGCCTAGACGACATTACTTTGTTCCCTTGTAGCTCTGCTCGGGTTTGCATCATTGATACTTGCGTCACCAGTGACCGTTTTAATAATAAACTATTAACCACGAACGTGCTGTAAAAGCGATCAGATTTAATGATGCTCATCCTGAGATGATTCATTCTGAGTGAATTGTCCACTGCGTTCAGGGACACACCTGGGCACGTCGCGTTAATGTGAAAAGTTAGTTAGCTGTGGCGTTGAAAACATTGGGTTTTTTTGTTTTGTGTATGAATTTAGAATGTACTTCCAATGTCATGTTTGCCCATGATACCTGTCTGTCTACAGGTCGTCTACTGCGACCATGTGCTTATTTTCTAAAGTCCTCTATCGTGTTAAAGTAGCTGTGGCTGATTAATGTTTCCCATTTTGCCAATATATGTACATTATTTTGGTGTCCACTGTATCAAAATGCATGT